GGTTAGCAACACTGGAAATTGAGGAATTCTAACGTAGGGTTGAGTTTACTGAGTCAAATATTAATATTATATGATTATCTATTCGTCTCCTTACAGCTAACGTAAATATTTTATAACGAAAAACAATTATACTAAAGATAAAGCCAAAGATGGAATACATTATATATACAAAAAGGTTCAAACATTTACTAAGTAATACCTAATTCGCCTGTGTTGTGTGATGTTGTAAAAGTGTGTATGTGGGGTGTGCTCATGATGCAGGTGATTTTGCGATATGGATTCTTAATCATCCTTTTAAGCATATTCCGAGACAGCTTAAACAAATCAAGGCTTAAATATTGGCCGTTGTATGTCCGGGCTGCGCGTTACAAAACTACTTGTAAATTGTAATGAAACGAGATACGTGTACTTAAATTTTGGGCGCAATTGGACTGATTTACTTTGTATGACTAAAATATTTATAAACAAATACCTACTTATATAGTACAGAATTTTTTGATTACTGTACGAAAAGGGCTAGCAGGAAGCGAATTGACAAAGCGAGCCATGGGCAGAGATATTTGGAAAAAGCTGAGGACTTTACCCTTGAAGGAGTTCCGATTAACGGTACTGAAGTTAGCTAGGATAACAAGAAAAATAAATATAAAATGTGTATAACAAATCTAAGCTTTATATTCTTTTGTAATGATTGGAAATTAAACGGGCTTTTATTATGATTATTATAGTACAGTAAATAAAGTCAAAATATACTCTATTATTTTCAAATGCCATTTTATAATATAATTTTCAAACGGCAACCCTGTCGCAAGCCCTGATGTTTACATGAACAACGATAAATGCCTCGTAGGGTGTGAAAGAGAAAGGGTGAAAAATAATGCAACCCCTGTTATTCAGGGTTCACAGATTTTCCATTTTCCCGTTCGAAGGGGGTTTTCATCAGGCTCTGGGGAAACTAATGAATGAGAGACTATTTTTCTTTGGTTATCTTTTCATTTATTTACTGTTTCCCGTCAAAGCCTCCCCTAAGTCCTTGTGCGCACATGAAATGAAAATACAGCGTCAGTACTCTGTAACTTTCAATCCTGAAGCGAATTTCGAATTGCAGCGCTACCAATATTGAGATTACATCGAAATTGCATGCAAAAACGACGTGGTTGGTATTATTCGACGTAAGAGTACTGGCACAGATCTTTGTGGACTTTGCTGGAAATGCTTAGCTCTCAGTGAACTTATTTTCTTAAAAGGCAAAGAGATCGGCCTTCTATGCCTGACACACACCCTTCAACCTCTCACTGGGCCAACACCACTCCCTAATTGAGCATGAATTATTCATAAAAATAATAACCACAATGACGTGAAAAGCGGTGTAAATTTCGCCCATTCAAAGCTGGAAAATCTAAAAACATACGATTACTCAGCAAAAGCCAGCAATTGAGATTTACGTGGGCGAAATAAATTTACGTTACGCCCCGCAACACATTTACGTAATTTAATAACGCTCGCACAATGGCCAATTACAATGATGTTTTTATACCAGGCATAATTCACTTATTCGTATTTTTTATATGGGAAATGGTTTGCGTTAATACAGTTAACACACTAACCTAACATTAGTTAAATTACATATTTTAGTTAATAATTAGAAGCGCAAACCAAATGTTAGCAATCATCGCACACTTGAAGCCAAAATGATAGAGGACAAATCTTTGTTTTTAATTTATTTTATTATTATTACTGACTTAAGATGTCATGTGGAACATGGGGCAATGGTTGCAGCTCCTTATAAACATTGTTTAAAACAAAAAATTTGGCGATTAAAGTGTGGCGGAGAGTTTATTTCCAGTTCTACTCTTCCGTTCTACGCCCTTGATTTGAGAACTGGCAGTAAATGTAAAATTACAAGCATTTCATATATATATCTTTATTCATGTTCATAAGTATTCATTGTGTTACCTATATCAATAAATGATTGACTTTGTCTTTGACTAAGTTTTCTTAAAGTCAGCGAAGTGAATTATAGTGAATCAAGTCATTATTTCAGTGTCTAATTTCCTACCCTAAGAACTAGATCAACTAGTCCTTACAGTAAGTCTCATGTTTTACGTTCAAACCCTTTAGACAAATGTTGTACTTTATTACCCAAAACCCGAAAAAGCGTATTGAAAGTTAAATATTCCAGTCAACGATAGTTTATGGCGAGGCGGAATCGTAAATTACCCTTCAGCAAGACCTTTCCGCCCGCGCTTTGAATACAAAAATAACCACTTCACTATTCAGTACACAGGCCCTTAACATTAATGTTGATTATGTTAAGATAAAAATAGTAAGAACACGAATAGAGAGTGGCGGAGAGTTTATTGCCAGTTCTTCTCTTCCGTTCCCTTGATTTGAGAACTAGCAGTAAATGTAAAATTAGAAGCATTAAATATTATTTCTCTTTCGACGTTTATAAGTGTACCTACATTGTGTTACCTATATGAATAAATGATTTGGATTTTTTTATTTGTGAATAACTGCCTCAAGTGGGTTCAGATAAATCGACGTTGAATCTTTAAACAGAATATCCTAGAATCGAATCCTAACAAACCTATTTTAAATATTATTATTTTACTAATACTAGTTATTTCGTTTAGCTTAAGTTTTCATAAAGGTTGTATTTTTTCATTTAGATGCTTCTAAGAGCATGCTTTTTAATTTTCAAAAGTTAAATTCACGAAAAAGCAAAATACATCCTTCCAAACTACCAGGAGGCCTTGTTCTGAGAAGAACGGGCAAGAAACTCAGCAAGTTTTGCCCCCCCCTTCATTACAATTATTCAAAGGAAAATGTCATAAACCACAACCTCTTTAAAATTTCATAAGTAAAAAAAAATCTGTTCTGTGATTTACCACATTCACCATTACACACATATTGATTAAAAAAACATTATTAACTAAACCCAATTGGGAGAAACGGATAAGACATATTTTCGTCGTTTTCTTATATAATCTCTAATCTATATAAATAAAAATGAATCACAAAATACGTTGCTAAGAGCAAAACTCCCAGACACATGGACCAATTGGAGTAATTTTTACTTATACCTTACACTCAGAGAAATGGAGAGAAACATTAAAAAAAATAGTGCGTGCGTACAAAGTACACATGTCAGAAGTAAAACTTCTTTGCCAAACAAATTTTTAAGTCTTGTTCATATTTATACAAATCTAAAACTTTAGATTTCCGAGACTTAGAGGGAGGGGAAAAGGAAGATATGTCGAAAATTAATCCAAATAAAATTTCATTTAAATTTATTTCTTCGATAATAAAAACACGTGGCATTTTAATTTACGATTAAATGCTTATATTTCATAAATCCTCTTTACGAAATTTTAATTTTAAAAATAAAATTTCTATTGCCCTTCTCACTCTCTCCCAATCGGTCTCAGTTGCCCTCTCCCTTTTCTTCGACAAAAACGCTGCACATCTTCGTGACGTTCCGTAAAATTTTACCCTTATGCGCCTAAAGCAGTTTCACTTCAAAAATAGTTTTATTTAGTACCTACTTAGATAGGTTTTTATACCGAAAAACAACCTCTATGCATATCAAAATATCCAAATGTTAGTAGTAGTAAAAGGTACGCTAAGTATAAAATCATATTAAGGCGAAATAAAGTTCGAGGGCAGAATGGGGACAAAAAAGAATGATCCTATAATAAACAGCAATAAAAACAAACCCTTGCTCCTGATCGCACTATAAAACTTGTTCCGGTGAAAACTAGCAAAAGCCACTACAATTTTCCGTGCAATTTCCCTCACCACTCTCATTATATGTGTTTTCGTATTCACGTCCAAACGGACAAACCCCACGCAAACAGCATACATGAATATCGTACGAGACATTAACCGACATCAATAATTGGGTATTATGCTCGGGGGATCATCCCACATCCGTCATTTTGTAATTTGGGATTCGAGATTGACAGTTTACATACCCTTTCTCAATTATCAAACCTTAAACAAATAACAACCAATTTAATAATAATTCTAAACTCGTATGATGAAATACTAGATTCTAGAAATTAATCATAGAATATAGCCACACGGACGATGCCTTACCAAAGTTTTATCATCGGACAATACAAAATACCATCCGTATCAACTCGACGTCCGTCGTTCGACAACTAGCAGTTTCTTAAGACAGTTTTTGCCGCGCACCACCACTATAAGGAACCAGCTGCCCACTGAAGTATTTTCGAACCAATTTGACTTACGGTACTTCAAGAAAAGAGCGTACCGATTCTTAAAATGCCGGCAACGGACTTGCGAGCTTTTTGGAAATGTGAGTGTCCATGGGCGCGGTATCACTTAACATCAGGTGAGCCCGTTTGCCTTCTATTACATAAAAAAAAGATCAACTAGAACACCCAAAAGGCCACAAAGGCACTGATGATTCCAGAATTTCTAAAGCATTGCATAAACGGGAGACGATCACACTGTGTCTTGGTGAATGCGGTGACCTCTGAATCTTACTCTAAGACTGTATCTGCTCCTGCTACTGTCGTCATTATATTGACAAAGCAAGCTAGGGCAAAATAATGTCACCAAAGGAGCTAGAATTCTCTTCGGAGAGTCTCCACAAACACTATATATACTGAAAGGAATCTTTTACCAGTTTCGTAAACTTTAGTTAGAAGACTCGAAAACAGAAATTACTGTAACTGTAATCAGAAATAGATTGTACATTACTGAAAAATATGTTATCCAAGGTAAGCAGTTAGCGTATCAGACAATAAGGCGGCATCTCGAGAAGACGGTTTCATTTGTAAATGTGCGGTGTCGGGAGTATTGTCTTGTCTGTCCCACTTACAGCTATTCAGAGCCGGGCCTAGGGCTGCAGCTTTCTTTAATATGGACGATTTTATTATAACGTGTCAATAGATGGAATGATGTATGATAGGGAAGAGAATAGATAAAATAAAGAATACGTCATTAAGAAGAATAAGGTAGCAGATGTCACA